CTTCTCCCCACTCTTGCCTGGCTCACCCCTGCTCATCCTTCCTGACTCAGTTCAGCTGAGACATTACCTCATTTCTCTGACCCCCAGCCTCCAGTCTGGTTAGGCGCCCCTCCTCTGTGTCCCTGTGTCCCTGGCGTCTTTGGTGTACCTCCAACTTAGCACCACTCACCTTCGATTGTAAGTGTCTGTTTATTTGTCACCTTCTCCCCACCCACTTGAGGGCAGGAGCAAGTTCTTATTCCTCTGGCAGCCTAAAGCTTAGGAGAGACGGGTAGCAAATGCTTAAGCAATGCTTTTTTTGATGAATGAATAAATGAAGGAAGGAAAGTGAATGAGTGAAAGAAAGAAATCAAATCAAGGTGTCCACTATAAGCAGATTACCTCATCAAGAACCAGCTTCTACGACTCACCCCTCCATCTTGAGTAACAGCATCAGTACCCCTGTCCCTGGAGTTGGCAACTCCAGAGACAGGCTGACTTTCTCTTACCCACCTCCCTCCAGCCACCTCCACATGCCTTTCAGACCTGCTCCCTTCCTCCACTTCCTCTGAATCCTTACCTAGGCCATTTCTACAGCCTCCCCGAGGGTGTCTGTCTCCAATAACCCCTCCTCTCCTCTCTGCCCCACTCCATCCTCTATGCAGCTGCACGAGGGGTCTTGGCTGAACATATGGACCTCACTCCAAGCCCCCTTCCGGTCCTAACTCCCTGCATCTGCGCATCCCAGTTCCACTATCTGTCCCCTGCTTCCATGTTAAGTTGGAGATTAAGAGACTGGAGGTAGCAGGTGGATATAAAGCTTCTCACTTCTCTCTCATCAGTCATGCCCAGACTCTTCCCAGGAGAACAGATACACTTTCAAACCAATGCCCTCACAGACTTTTGCTTTAGGATCTCTTCCGCTTGGAAGTCCTTATGCTGGATGGTGTATGGGAGGAGCTGAATGGTTATAGATTATTATAGGTATTAGCTCTGAGCCAATACCAAATACAGCTACTATTACCATGTATTGTGTGTTTTCTCTGTTCCAGGAACACATAGCCTGATTTAATTCTTTCTTCAGTCCTATAAGGTAGATCTCACTCTTACTTTCATTTACAGAGGAGAAAATAGAATCCCTGAAAAGTTAATGATTTGCTCAAGAACATAAATTTACTAAGTGGCAAAATGGGGATTTGAACTCTGTTTTATTTGACTCCAAGGCCCAAGTTCTAATTCGATAATACATGTACAAAAAATATTAAATAATATTTAAATCAATAAAAAATACTTATCATAAACACTGAAGACCAGATTATTATTTTATTTATAAACATGGAAGTTTATGTACTGAAAATTTAAAAGTTATCACTGAAAACCTGAAAAGGACTGGTACGTGTGGGCCATTAAAAGAAAAAAGTTATCACTGAAAGCCAAGAGACATTAGACTTGCCAAAGTTGCTTATGTAGGTTAAAAAGCAAACTCCTTATTAGATATGGAAAATTAGCACTACCTTGAGCCCAGGTGTATTCTGATAGGTAGACAGGTAGAAAGTGGCCCTCCCCGAAGCCAACTATTCCCAGTCTTCCTGTTTTGACCAGCTAGTTAGGTGGCAATAAGGGAGGGAGGGTCAAGGGCACTGGGTAGCTGGGGCCATGGAAAGAGTAGCTGGACTCAATGATTTAACCATCACATCTTCCTCTGACATCAATCCTCCCAAATGGAATCTCTCACTATATTGTGACTAGGGATAACCCTTGGATTCTTTATTAAAATACCACACAATTCCACAAATCTTTCTATTTCCATCTTTAAGTGTTTTATAATTACTTGCATCAAGCTACATAAGATACTGTATATGCTCTCCTTGAAATTAAAAAACTAAGCGTTTTATTTTGTTGCCTGGTGGAAGTTTGAGAACAAGTCAAAATGCTTATCTCTCTTAGCTTTTATTTCTACACAAGAGAGTGGGAAACAGTGAGAGAAATTGCTTTCTTGGAGTACAGTCCAGAGTGAATTCAGCAGTCTTCATGGGGCCCTTCCCACACCTTTTTTGGGGGATGAGAGGGCAAAGCTGGATGCTTTGCTGCAAAATAACCCTGCTTTGTGTTTGTCTAGCCTTTTCTAAAATGCAAAACCCCAAAAGCTGCCCCCATTGTCTTCCCAATACCCCTAGTGGTTGTCATGTGATCAGAGAAAAGCAAGGCTAGTTAGTTCACTGAGTCCAGGAAGAAAGCTCAACCACATAAGTAATGACAACAATGGGTCTGGTTTCCCTCATAAGACACACCATAACCTAATATGCTTCCAATTGCTCAACTCTCAAACACAGCATATCAAATTTTCAGGCTAGCACCTTCTTTTTCAGATGTCCAGCTACCTTTTCCACATCTACTGTACCAGTCCCATTCCCTCCATTCACAAAGTCTGTGACAGGGATGATGGATCATCGCCTCATATCCATTCTCTCCTTTCTTATAATAAAACCCCTGTATATTAGTTGGGCCATCACCACTCAAAGACTACAATTCCCAGCATTCCTTGCATCCAGCTGCGGCCATGTGACTAAAGTCTGTCCAATAGAATTTGAGTTAAAATGCTGAGGGCAATTTCTGGGTATCCCTTAGTAGGAAGGGCTGTGTTCCCTTCCCTCTTTTCCTCATCTATTGGCTAGAATGTGGATGTGCCAGTGAGCCAATTTGGGCCATGGGAAGGAGGATCAGAAGAATTGGCAGAGCAAAGAGATAGAAGGATTCCGGGTCTCTGACAGACAGAAGCCACCAAAACTGGTTGTAACCAGACAGGTTATAATCCTGAAGGAAACATGAATGCATTTTGTTAGAATCACTATTATCTTGGCATTTTGGACTGTTAGACTTTTATCTTAATGACCCAATGTACAAAAATAATCTGGATAGCTATGTACAAGGAGCCCCTAAAAAGATGGAACTGCTCTTAACTGAATACCTCTTTACAATGATAAAGTCATGTTGAATGACTCTGAACTTAAATCTCTGACCCTGATTTCAGATTCCACCTTCACCCCCTTTTTCTCCTCCTGCTTGAAACCCAGATCATTTGTTTCCAGAAATGAAGCTAGAGGTTGTCTTGTTTGCTAATCCAGACAGGGAGCTACTATACTGTAAGGGCATCCAGTGAGCAGAGCTGAGAGAAAGCATGAAACGGGAGAGCACTGGACCAGGAACCAGGAGACCCAGGTTCTGCTGCCAAATAGCTTTGCGATCTTGGAGATGCCACTTCACTTCTCTGGGCCAAAGTTTCAACACCAAAATTCTGCAATTGCTCTACAACGACCTTGTTGATAGTTAATAACCTTGGATTCAACTTCACCGTTGACTCTACAAGTGGAGGCTGGGCCTTAGTTGTGAATATCTAGCATCATTACATGGAAGGCACCAGAGAAACAGAAAAGTGTTATCTTCCAAACATCCTTCTTTCAATGGCCCTGAGGAAGGCTATGCAGGCCAGAGTGGAGGGGGTAGTTGGGGAGATTCTATTCCCTGCGTGGTCACAAGAAGCTAGAAAGTATCTTCCAGAGTTTCACAGGAAGGGCAGCATTGACTTTGGGGCTGTACAAATCTTCCTTGTATGGGTCTGTCCTGTGTACTGCAGGGAAAAATCATCCCTGAAGCTTGTCTACAAAAACGTCCACACTTCTGTCCATATGCTGCAGAGAGAACAAAGGAACCCCCAGCTGGAAACCATTACTGGGTCACCCCTTCATTTTACTGTCAAAGAGAGATTCAAAGGGGTTCAGTAACCTTGCCCACCCTTGCTATGATGACAGAGCTGAGACTCCATGCAAGTCTCATGATTCCTGCCTACGTCTTCTCTCTCTAACCTTGGATAAGACCCAAGTGCAATCACTGTTCTGGGTCAACCAGATCAGTGGACTCCAAAGCAGGATGATGGTACATCATCCTCCTAGGTGAGCAAGACAATCTTCTGAGATGCCAGAAGAAAAGAACTTTCTATTTCTGTCTTATCTCCTCCTTGAAGATTCTGTGGAACTTTCTAATGTACGTAATATACTAGTAGAGTAGCATGTGTATAATTCATAATTACACACACACACATAAATATTTTCAAATATTTTTTACTGATGATACGAATGATCAGAAAGCATGGAGCCCACCAGTTTAAACACTCACTTCTATTTCCAACTCTAAAAAAATGACCAAATTGCCCTGCTTTGTTTTACTACTTATTTTCCAGGTTGAAACTTGCAGGTTGTTCTTCTAAGAAAAAGGTAAGTGTCAAATGTTAACCGAATTAGAAGCCTCCATACAGGCAGATCATCAAAGGATACAACCCGATCTTCTGTTTGGCATTCAATCCAGCAAGTCAAGCAGTTTGAGGTAACCTGGTCCTGGCTTACTGGGAAGGACTGAAATCCTCAGAGGAAGTGAGGAAAGGAGAAGGAAGGTAGGGGAGGGGAACCCCCCCGCCCCAGCAGTGCTCACTCATTTAAATATCTTCTCTCCTTTTCAGTCTTTTTCACCTAGTTTTGGAACAGAGCTTAAATTACTTCAACCTTTAAAAATGTTCCTCTTGGGGGCCTGGGTGGCTCAGTCGTTAAGCGTCTGCCTTCGGCTCAGGTCATGATCCCAGGGTCCTGGGATCAAGTCCCACATCGGGCTTCCTGCTCTGCGGGAAGCCTGCTTCTCCCTCTCCCACTCCCCCTGCTTGTGTTCCTGCTCTCGCTATGTCTCTCTCTGTTAAATAAATAAATAAAATCTTTAAAAAAAAAAAAAGTTCCTCTTAACCTTACTCTGCCATGTGAGATGAAGCAGCACAGAGGAGAATAAAAGCGACTTCTTTCTAAATGATTAAAAATTCACCTGGTATGCTCCCCAGTCCCTGCTTACACCGGAACTAAGCACTCTCCCTGGGGCCTTAATCAGTATGAGCGAGATGTGGGAAAATCAACATTTTGATGAAAAGAGACCCCCTGAATCCTGGGTTGGGGCAAGGGTTTAACTTTTCTGAAGCATACTTACAAAAATCACCCGATGATCAGACTGTTCCTGCAGAGGAGAAAAAACAAAACAACATGAAAGGAAAGGAAAACCTACAGGTTGCAAATAAACCCATAGAGTAGCCCCGCTTCTACAGAGAGCCACGGGCAGCAAACACACAGCTTCCATCTGAATTCTGTTGACCGCTCGCTCAGTTCTCGTTCAGCCAGCTGTGGGGCTGAGGGCTCCACGGCCATGACCCCATTTAGTGATCGCAGCGTCCTTATGCTATAGGCTGATACGACACAGCCTAGAGGTTCCCAAACTTTCTCTGCTCACGGCACCTTTGCTGTCTCAGGAATATTTTTACAGCACCTCTAAGGCCAAAGAAATGCCTAAGTAAGCGTTCCGTTTATCCACAGTTATACCCAAACAACCCGGTGGTGGTAGTTCACACAGATGTCGCTCTTTCTCTTGAAAAGCTGCAACCTTCCGCAGCGCCCCTGTGAGTTTGCTGCACAGCCCCGGAGCACCCTGGTACACAGTTTGGAAACCCCAGATATGCTCCCTGTGACATAGATACTATTTGGACCCCTGTTCTGTCCACGAGGGAACTGAGGTCCAGTAAGGTTAGCTTGTTGTAATACAGCACGCTGAACTCAAGTCCAGAACCCACTCTGTTACACCGGACCCCTCCCCTCCTCCTGACTCCCGCATGATTTCCTCTCTCCATTCTGGATATTCTGCACCTCCCCCCACCTCCCCACCGGAACACACGAGCACACAGGCATGCACACACACAGGCATGGCTTGTCCTCTTGGTTCACACCATTCCTTTTGATTTCAGTGCTCCTCCCTCCCCTCTGCTTTTCCAGAAACTGCCCGTGCTTCAATTCTCAGCCCCTAGGTGGACCACTTGTGAAACTTCAGTCTGTTAAGCAGCCTGTTAATGACATCTGATCTTACGTTGCCTTCCAATTGTTTATCAGCGAGAATGGGCTTTTCCCAGTAAGACTGAAAGCTGCCCGAGAATAGGGACACTGTGTTATCCTATGCTGGGCATATGGCAGCAACTATGAAAGTGTGCTGAAATTGGGCAAGGTATAATTTGATAGCGTACTCTAATGCCTGGATGTAATGAACAGACAGAATATATTTAACATAAAGGCAAAGATCATCAGGAATGATCACTAACGTCTATCTGGCTTCTTTACGTTTTAAAAACCAAAGGCTTTTACATACGCCATTTTATTTGGAACTCACCACAGCGTAATTATTATACCCCTTTCATGGGAGAAAGGTAAGGCTTAGCCAGGTGAGGTGACTCTGGCCAAAGTTAGCCAACCTGTAAGTGCAGGAAGGATGTCTGGAAACCCAGGGTGCCTATTTCCCTCCTCGCCCCGTGCTTCACCTTTGCACTGAGTGCCCTCCCCAGAGATGCCAGTGTTCAGGGCAGGATCTCGATTCCAGAGGCACTGCCCAGACTCCAAGACACCTGTCACCAGCACTGTGCCCTCGCTGCCTGGACCGTGCTGCAGGCTGGTGGCCGAGGACACTGCTGGCTCCTTGGTGGGGTCCAGGTGCTTGTTGAAAGTTCCAGTGCTGAGGTGACACGGAACCTCACCTAGTGGCTTCCCAGGTGGGCTAAGCCAATCTCCCCTTTGAGGATAAAGTAAACCATAGAGGTTGGGGCTGAGGGCTTCTGGGGCAAATGAGGGCAGCTGGTACAAAAGTCTGAGATTAAAAGCGTATCATGCTTTTTTTAAAAAAAAAAAAAAAAGGTGGGGGGGAACAGCTGTAAGGTGGCTGTTTTCTCACAGGATGCATGGGGTGGGTTGAGTCCAGGATGGAAGTGCTTACCCAGAACCCTTTCTGCACGCGCCTGCCGTCCTGGAGATGCAGAGGCCAGGCGTGTGATGAGGACATGTGCATGAAAGACGTGTGTAAATTCCAGAGGACTATACACACATGATTATTACATACACAGCTACGCACACACATGCATGCACGCAATTAGAAATCCTTCTGAATATCGCTGCAATGCCAACCAGAGGTGTGCTTTGAGGGGGCTGCCTCGATGGAGCTACTCACCAGGGCCGCAGAGTCCTGGCTGAGCAGCACAGGATGCGACCGCTCCTGCAGGGATTTATCCACGCCGACCTCGGAGTAGAAGACCTGGAAAAGAGGCAGGCAGCCGCGGTGAGAGCAGTGCTAGTACTTCTCTAGCAGATCAAGGGCCTGGGGTTCGAGCTCCACTCACAACCGCAGGGGCTTCCGAGGTGCGCTGCCTCGCCTCCCTGACCCCGGTTCTACAACGAACATCAGCTTCCCCCGAGCCCCCGGCTGGGCTCGCACACTCATGAGCCTGCAGAGTCCAGGAGGGAGCTGTGTGTCACTGAAGTGGGAGGGAGGGGGCTGGACCCAGGCCCTGCTATTCTCCCCCAAACCATGACTTTCTCAGGTAATCTTCCGTCACCCCACTTTTGATGTAACATGAGTTCAGAAACACATTTCTCTGCCTTAAGAAGACAATAGGAGGAGGGCCTATGTTTGGTGAAAGGGAGGCAGTAGGGAGTTATAGATCTGGGTGTTATAGGGAGTGGGGGGGGCTTCTGTCCCATCTAAAGTGGGCAGCCCAGCTCCAGTGGGCTCGGTGCCCCATAGGAATATGGGCCCAGGGTGGCCACCTCTCCGGATATTCCCAGAGCTTTCAGAACTCCAAATATTCATCTGAAATCTCCAAACTCCTAAAAGTTGACCCATTTTTAAGAGCCCTGTCCAAACAAAACATGTTGGTGCAATGAAATCAGTCCAGTCTATAACCTCTGATAGGTAGGAATGCATTCTCTGTTCCCTGTCCCACTTTGCCTGTTCATGTCTTTACTTTAATTCAGATTTTACAGTATTTTGTACTTGTTGACAACATTCCCCAGTGACTCCTTATTACTTCCCATGTTTCTGCTTTCACCTCCGAACTTGACTGTCGGCAGCTGAATAGCAGGAACCATATCTTCTACTTGGTTTATATTTTCCCATCCCTGAGCAGGGTAAGGACTCCATAGATCCTAACTGACTTTCAGGCACTTACAAATACCCTTAAAAGGGAAACATTTGCTCTGGTTTCATGTAAGGAGACTGGGGCAGTGAATAATAGGGGAGAGTTGGTATAAGGAGGCCCTATATAGGAGGAGAAAGGGTAGGCAGGGCGTATAGTTACCCCAATGACACCCATGACAGAAATCCCTGTGCCCAGGTACTCACAGTATAGCCAATGACGGGGCTCCTGGGATGCCTCGGCATTCTCCACTGGATGCTGAAAGCTGTGCAGTTCAATGAGAACAGCATGATATCGAGAGGAGGCTCCACCTTGTCTGCCCCAAAGCAAAAGAGACTGTGTTAGAGGCTCCGTGCGTCCACCTTGCGTGTACTTACCGCTGGACAGCTTACTGCAGGATGATGCCGCAGGACAGAAATCAGACACCTCTCCGGCATGCCACACCTCTATCGGCTGACTCCCCAGAACTCTGCTCTCCACCCCCCCCAACCTGGCAACCGTATGTCCCTCAGTCCCTTCTGAAACTTCTAACAGCCCAGGGGCCAGCAAAGGGAGGCCAAGCACTTCCGACTTGACTCTAGGAGCTTGGAATGTATTACAGGAAGATGATGAATTTTTTTTCTTTTTACTTAGTAACATATATATGTTTTATAGGTATGTTACATAGCTATGTCTGTTTACACAGTTCACTTATTACAGAACATCTCAAAAATATGGTTAGTTGTAAAATGGGGTTAGAAAACTTCAAATGTTTTACTGTATCCTTACTTAAATAATTTTATGGTTATGAATAATAAATTTTATGTTTATAAATATAACATACGCAGATTGCCAAAATTTAGAAATGAGTCCTGTCAACATTTGAATACACTACCTCCTTTTGGTTAATGCAACTTTTTGTAAGACATCTATATGTAAATGTAGATATAGATATATAGCTATATACATATACCATATGTACATATATATTTATATATGTATATATAACTTTCATTTTTCTTTATTGTGTTCATTATATAGAATAAATATGTATGCATATATAGTCATAATTTTAAATCTTATTTTCACTTTGTATATATACTGACAGTATATATTTATCAATCAAATTAATTATTTTTAATGGCTGTTCGTTCTTCTATATACAGTAATTCCCCCTTACCTGCGCAGGATACTTTCCAAGACCCCCAGTGGATGCCTGAAACCACAGATAGTACTGAATCCTATATATACTATGTTTTTTCCTATAAATATATACCTACGATAGTTTATTAATTAGGCACAGCAAGAAGTTAACAATAACTAATAATAAAATAGAATAATTACAATAAGCTACTGCAGTAAAAGTTATGTGACTGTGGTCTCTCTCAAAATACCTTATTGTACCATACTCGCCCTTCTTCTTGTGATAATGTGGGATGATAAAATGCCTACACAATGCAGTGAAGTGAGGCGAATGATGGAGGCACTGTGATGGAGCGTTAGGCTACGCTGACCTTCCAATGATGAGTCAGAAGAGGCATCATCTGCTTAAAGACTAGTTGACGGTGGGTGACTGAAACTGCTGACATTGAAACCAGACAGGTGGGGGACGACTGGGATGTACATGCCACAATTTACACTATTGCTCGTTCCACTATTGTTAAGACACTTAATTTATTTCCAATATTTTGCGATTTTAAATAATGCTCCATGAGGGACACGTGGGTGGCTCAGTCAGTTAAGCTTTTCCCTTCAGCTCAGGTCATGACCCCAGGGTCCTGGGATGGAGTTCCGCATTGGGCTCCCTGCTCAGTGGGGAGTCTGATTCTCCATCTCCCTCTGCTGCTCCCCCTGCTTGTGCTCTCTAGCATGCAGTCTCTCAAATAAATAATAAAATCTTCATAAATAGTGCTCCATGAGGGCAGGAACTAGGTATGTCCAGTTCAGAGCACAGAGACTAATAAATGAAAGAGCTTGAGTGGATGAATGTTCTTCCATTTGATTTCCCACTTGCCAGTATGGCCTGATGATCCTTCTTTTTAACAACTGTGTAGAATTCTCTAGTATATCAGTTAGGTTACTTTGTCTGCCATTCACAGAGATCTAATGTGTCAATTTATTAGACTGCAGCTGGGGCCTCCCATCCATTTTTTTTTTTTTTATTCATGAGAGACAGAGCGAGAGAGAAAGGCAGAGGGAGAAGCAGGCTCCCAAGGAGCAGGGAGCCTGATGCGGGACTCGATCCCAGGACCCTGAGATCATGACCTGAGCCGAAG